GGTGCTGATGAGTTGTGGGTCAGCACACCAACAAGGCACAGTATTACATATGTAACAAACCTGCATGTGTATGCACATGTACCCTTAGAACTTAAATGTGTAATAATAAAAATAAATAAATAAATAATATATAAAAATAAAAACAACAAAAACAAAACAAAAGACAAACAAAAAATTGGTAGTTTTTGCCTTTTTTTTTTTTCTTTTTCAGATAGGGTCTTGCTCTGTCATGAAGCTCAATCATGTCTCACTGCAGCCTTCACTCCTGGGCTCGAAGTGATCCTCTCGCCTCAGCCTCCCAAGTAGCTGGGACTAAAGGTGCATGCCACCAAGCCTGTCTATTTATTTATTTATTTTTATTTTTTAGAGACAGGGTCTCTGATGTTGCCCGGCTAGTCTCACACTCTTGGCTCAAGGAATTCTTGCATTTTTGGCCTCCCCAGATGCGCAGTTGCAGGCATGAGCACGGCCGCCTGCAGATGTTATTTTTAAATTGAAAAAAGAATGCTCTCTCTCCATTGCAGGTATAACTAGATATTATACTAATTTTACATACTGAAAAATAAACACATTGTTTACCATGAAACCAAAAGTTATTTCAGATGTCATATAACAGACCTGGCGTTCCAGATAAAGGTGTGATGCTTCTTATTGTTGGGGTCCTAAAACTTTTTGCCTATAAAAAGAATAATGTCAATATGCAAACTTATCTCTGTTTTGTTTCTAGTTTTGTGAAATAATTTCTTACATTATTAAATTTCAACAATATTCTTAATGTAACTGTCTTATAGCAAAGAAGATAAAAATAAGATGAACCTAAGAGTTAATTTAGAGGATAGGAGCATCATGGTTTTGCTTCTTAATAGCTATGGGGCTGAAAGAGAAGGGAGGGAGAAACCAAGAATGGTAACAGGTTTCTAGCTTGAGATAGTGAGAAATAATCAGAGAAAAAGTAGATTTAAGGAGGAATGCAAAACTGCAGTTTGAGATATGCTGAATTTAGGTTGCTTTAAAGCCATTTAGGTGTGACATACCAGAAAACAAACCACAGTTCCACGTCTGGGGATAGAGAAGAAAGCCAGAGATATCTGGGAATCATATTTGGCAATGTATTTTGGAATCAGAGAAGCTTCTTGAAGACAGATGTCATTATTGTTTTCTTCAGTATTTCATCTTATATTAGAACATTGTAGTACTCAGTAATTGACAACTTAAAACTAATATAATTTATTAAAAATATATGGGATAATGCTTAGAAGAGAATGTATTACTGCTACTACTTCTATTTAGGGCAGTTAAATTTTGAGAGGCTCTTACACCGCATGCAGGTACATTTTATCTCATTACATTAGAAATTATGTAGAAAGGAAAGGTAGTTACTTCGATGAAAATAGGAAATGGGAGAATCACACTAAGAGTAGAAGTAGAGATAAAGGGGAAAATATGAACAAGAAAACATGTTGGATGTATGAAAGTTTAATTTAATAATAAAAGTAAAAGAGGGGAAATAAATCAGAAATAACAGACATTCAATTACTATGGAAGACAATTTAAATTGAGAGAAATTATCCTTTGTTACACGCTAATGTATTTTTAAATGTGGAAATAGATAATCTGTAAAACTATAAAGTAAAAATTCAGCTTTGCAAGAAGGAAAGCAAGATCAACTATATAAATTGAAGAGAAGATTCCTACATACGTTGAAGGTACATGCCCAGCTGTTGATGTGACCTTTGCAGGTGTTATTTTCTGTAACAGGAACCCCGTCCACACTGACTCTAACAGCGTAGGAATCTTCTGGCATTGCTCTATAGGGAAAATGAAGAATATATGAGACATGCAATACCTCTCTTATTTAGTGTACAGTATTAATGAAAAATACTGCCCCAGACTGCATGCCATTTTTGACAGAAAGTGTCCAACATCATAACTGATATCTAGTAAAGTTCCATTCTATATTATGGAAAAATTATCTCCATCTTGAACTCTTCATTGCAAACTCTAACCTCATGAACTTCAGGCAAATGCCTATTCTGACTATGTACGTTGGTGGTATTATAAAGGACAACTAATGTAATAACAACAAATTCAATAATAAACATTTAAAATAGTAACATATCACCTTGGTATAATCAGTTATTCCATGCTTTGCTTCTTAAAAAGTACTAGTTAATCAAGCTTCCCCTAAGTAAGCTTTTCCTGGTGAAGAACAGTCATCAAACCTAACATAAATGAAATCCTCTAGAATATGTGCTATCTGTTTCTAAGGTCAATATTGAAAGTTGCAATTTTAAGTGATTTTTCCTAAGTTGCTAATAACATACATTAATTTGGGCTGATAGTAAAGAACTTGAAAATGTCACTTGAAATGTCACAATACAAAATGATTATCTTTAATCTTAATGATTATGTGAATATTTTGAACAAAATTAATCAAATGCAACAGAAAAAGCATAATTTTGGTATTTTAAGGCACATCACTACAATTAAATAGTAGTCATTTATCTGCTAAAAAAGCTTGACAGCAAGGTAGTAGCGCTAATAACATGGGAAAAGATATAGAATATGTTTTTATCATGCCAATTATAATTGAATATAATAAAGGCATAAAATAGTCTAAACATCACAAAATGAAAAATAATAACCTATCATCAGAAAAATATGACTTATAATAGCCAGGGTAATAAAACTATTATAATACTAACATTCATAACTATAACTTCTGATATGATGAAAACGATTTTATTAAAGATACTTTAAAACAGACCTAGTATAGCATGTAATTTGAGTTGAATGACTTGCATCTTTTTCTACATCACAAGTAATTGACTGGAAAGAAGAAACTAATTGCACACTGTTTCCCAACTCAGCATTATCAACTCCATAGTTAAACTGGTTTGCTTGAGAAAAACCTGGAAAAGTAAGAAGATTTAATTATTATTAATGGTATTCTATCTTCAGAGACCTAACAGTTGTCACCTGATATCAAATCATACAGTAAATGATTTCATAAACAGTACTGAAGTAAGCAGTGAATCTATTTCATATTTATCCTTATGATTGTAATCTTCTTTCGAAGCACAAAATTTAGCCTTTATTTCATTTACTCATAAACGTATTGCTGGAGGATAGATAGAGTCATCTCTTAGCATTCATGGGGATTTGTTCCAGCATCCCCTTGAATAACAAAATTCACAAGTGTTCAAGTGCTGTAGTCAGCTCTGCAGGACAAGCATCCAGATTCCACATCTGGTGAATACTGTACTTCCCATTCACAGTTGGTTCAATTTGTGGATGACAGGCCCGAGGTTACAGAGAGCCTACTGTGAGCCTACATAGCACCAGATTCTATATCTGGGGGTGATAAGTACCATGAAAAGGGCAGGCTAAAAGGACTAAAAAGAGTAGAGGAGGAGAACACTATTTTATAAAGGATGAGGTCTTTGTTTTAAGTTTCTACAGAGCAAAATCTGAGGTGAGGATTTGCCAGCACATAATTTATTTGGGCAATGAGCTATTAGGTAGGAGAGAGAGCAAAATGTGAGGAAAGAAAAGCTGGGCACTGCTGAGGACAACTGGGGCTCAATATTGCTGGGAATTTCTAAGGAACATACGGCATGTTTTTCCAAATCAAAAAATCGATGGCAAGAAGCATTTCTTCATCAAATCTGGTGCCCATTGGTAGAGGCTTCTCCCCGGGGGAAATAACTTTTTTTGCACTTCCACACTGCACATAGGTATATGTATATGAGTTCCAAAGTCTGGAGTTACTGCATTAGGCAAGTCCTTGAATAACTGACAAAGACATGGTGTTAGAACTCAGACAAGAAGCATAAGTTGAGTCAAAGTACATAAGGAACTATTTGCCACAGCTCTAACTAGAATTAGAGTTAAGAAAGAGAGGATGTAAAGCTGAGTATAAAAGGCATCTGATACAGTCTATCCACTATATCACACATAGCTACTCATGGCCTACATATTAAGCACAATCCATCACCAAGTCTTTGAGATGGTAGCCAGCTGAGATCTCTACTAAGATTTAATACAAGAGTGTTAGAGGTAGTCAGCTGAGATCTCTGCTAAGATTTAATACAAGAGTGTTAGAGGTAGTCAGCTGAGATCTCTGCTAAGATTTAATACAAGAGTGTTAGAGGTAGCGTCAGCTGAGATCTCTGCTAAGATTTAATACAAGAGTGTTAGAGGTAGTCAGCTGAGATCTCTGCTAAGATTTAATACAAGAGTGTTAGAGGTAGCCAGCTGAGATCTCTGCTAAGATTTAATACAAGAGTGTTAGAAGTAGCCAGCTGAGATCTCTGCTAAGATTTAATACAAGAGGGACAAGCTTATATTAAGGTTAGAGGGACAAGCTACAGGCTATACTACTATATAACTACTCCTAAAACTATAATTAATTTTCACCATGTCTCCTTGCTATCAGCCATTGTAGATTTCCCTCACCTACAGCCAGCACTGTAGCTAATTGGGTGACACTAATGTTCATCCTGGAGAAATAGGAGCCCCTAGTTGCCTTGCCCTTGTAAGGTGGTGGTTGCTGCAATTGGCTGTTCTCAGTAATCGCTGGACATGAAGCCAAGAAATATCCCTATGAATACCCTGAATTCCAGACCTACTCCTCCTTAACTACATTAAGTTAAAGCAACTTCTTTATGATAATTAGAACTGATTAGCTCTGGTCATATACCAAATAGGTTTGATGAATTCAAACTGAGTAGGCAATGGTGGTAGTTTCAGTTCAGTGGAATCCATATTGTGACCCATGATGGGAGCATTCTCTACCTGGAAACTAAGACCACAAATCCAGCAGAATGTAAAACTGCAAAGGCAGAAGGCACAAATTCAATTTCTGGATAACAGGGAGTGACGGTGAAGGGAAGCAGCCCTTTATTTCCAGCTCTGTGCATCTGTCTATTATAAAACAATAACGTATGTCTATCACTGGTTCAATGCATGTTATGGAGGATACCATCCCACCCCACAGGATGTTTTTCCCCAAGTTGGCATCTTGGCCATAGCTTTAACAGGCTGTCCCATCATTCTACTAAGCCAGATTTCATGGTCATGTGCCCAGTATCACAAAATTTTCACTATAAAATACATTTCTTGTTCTGAGGCAATATTTTATAGAATTCTATGGCAGTATATCAGGTTCTGTAAGCTCGCAGAAGATGGTGCTGACAGAGAACTGTGGAAAGAGGAAGCAAAGCCCACAACTGGAGTGTCAGTTCCAGTTACGATCAATCTCTGCTCTTTCCATGGGAGAAGGGAAGTGCTGTAATCAACTTGTCACTGAGAAGCTGGGTGGACTTTTTGAGGAGTGGTACCCTATTGAGAGCTCAGTGTTGGTCTCTGCTGCTGGCAGTTCAGTTATTCAGCAATAGCAGTAGGTTGTTTAGCCTGGGTGAAAGGGAGTCCATGCTCTTGGTCCATGCAAGGCCTACACCCCATGACCATTCTTCATGGGCCCACTGCACTAGCACTGCGGTGGCCATGGAGAGAAGCTCCTGGATGAATCATCCAATCCATCTGTTTATTCCATCTCCTCTGTGGGGGATGTTCTCTTGTGGGAGTTAACTTGAGATACATAGATCTGCATGCTTTATGCTCACTATTATGAGTCCCTTCATATGCCTCTTTCTAAGACATTCTAATTTCTGATCTTCCAATCCTGTTCCCTTCAGTTCCTAACCAACTAGTGAAGTCCTCTTCAACTGCCCAGGAGCCCATGCACATTCTTACCGTAAATCACTTTTCCTGCCTACAAACTTACCAACTGTGTCTACTGATCATGGCTCTGCCTATCAGGGAGGCTGACGGTGAAAAGTGACTTAAGAGCCTTAGGGCCACTTTGCAGCATTTATGACTGAAGTCAGAGGTGATACTATGAAGATGTGAAGTGGAACACAGGATGTATGTATTATAGACAGTTATGGAAGTTTTTCAGAGGGAGCAAGTCATGAGGCTATCTATGGGAAGTGCATTTTTGGTAGAAGGAACAGGATGTGCCAAGGCCCTGTGGTGGGACCATGTATGTGGATTCAGATAATAGCAAGTGTGGTTGAAGAACTATGAGTGAAGAGAAATGATAGGAGAGGAGACCAGAAATGAAGGTGCTTAGGCTATTTTTAAGCGTGCGGAGTAATTGTAGGCTTTGAAACAGAGGAGTGACATCATGTGACTTACAGTGTCTAAGATTCACTAGCTCCTGTTCTGAGAATAGAATAGGGGCAGCAGTGAAGATGGTGTCTCAGTGAACAATGGGATAAATAATGGGATAAATGGCATGAATTCAAGAGAAGATCAGAAGACAGCAAAGTGAAAAGGACAAATATTGCTAACATTTTTCGGAGTTTAATTACAAACAGAGGCAGATAAATGAGTTGGTAGCTGGAGAGGGGTGTGGAGCAAGGGGAAGGCTGATGATTTTTCTTTTACTTTTTTTCAGGTGGGCAGAATAACAGTATATTTGCAGGCTGATAGGATATCTAACAGAAAGAGACAAAAGGATAATGTGAAATAGAGACAAAAATTACTTTAATCTTTCTATAAATATATGAAAATTCAAAACCACATTTGGAAGCAATTAAATATAGATTAAGCTTTGTATGCCACATAAGAATATTTTATATTTTTGAAACAATATTCACTTTTGGAATAAACCCAAGAAATAAAACCTATGAATGACTTTAGTGTTCTATTAATTAAATTCTATAATTAAATGTTCTCCTAATGAAAGTGTTAAAAAGGTACTTATACTGTTCTAGTTCACAAAGTAAATTACACACATCTATGGAATTTTATATATTATACTGCTTTGGAATAAAGTTAAATGAGGAAATAAACAGTTTTTGCCCAGATTACTTCACTATCTAAAATTCCTAAATTCTGAATTCTAACAGTATGTAAATTTTTAAATATTATTTTTCCCTATCACAGGTTCTTAACAGTAAAACTCTACTTTAGGCAAATTAAGCAGTAGTATTATATTTGAAACTATGAAAATTTTTCTTTTGCACTAGCAAATTTGTATCCATGTCATTGTAAATTTATAAGCTATTTAAATTTCAGAATGTAATTATCTACAGACCATATCATCCCATAATACAATAATAAACTTATCATCAGTAAACAAAAAATGGTAAACCCAGAGATGTAGATTTAACTCTTTAAATGTCATGTATAATACTATTTACAATATGACAAATAGGGCTATAATATATTCCATTTATAATACTAATGTTATAAAAAGATAAATATTTGTTACCTTACAGTGTTAGCAGTTTTCAAAATGTTTCAACAAAACAATCATTACTACAATATGTGCTCATCTTCAACAACCTTTAATAGTTGAAGTGGCAGAATTGGGGTTGCCAGAAGATATCTGTGGTACAACTGCTTTTTAAATTATTGGGCATTTTCAGTGTTCCCCAAAGGTCTGCTAGACAACATGAATACTTCTGGTTTCTTGTAGGCCTGGAAGCAGGACTTCATTGTGCCTGATGTTCATCAGATACTAAAGCCTCTCACCGCCAGTACTGGTAAAGCTACGTAGCAGGAGCCCATGATGTTTAATTGAAAGGGCCCAGGCTTTGGACCTTGACCTTCTGGCCTGGAATCCCAGCTCTAACACTCCCTTGCCATTATGACTTTGGACAAGATATAACCCCTCTTAGCCTAGTCTCCTCATCAGAAAAGTGGCCATAATCTATCTTAATGGATTGTTAGGAATAATAAAGGATCATTTATAGACAATGTTTAACATGGTACCTGGCTTAACAAGATATCTGCTAAGATCTCAATAGATACATGCTCCTATTATTTATCACCAAAATCCGGAGATTTAGGTTAATCATTAATATCCCTTTTTAAACATAACACAGAGGCCGGGTGTGGT